GTATGATCTGGTTGAACTGTAAAGTGCCTTGAGATGACATGTGTTGTGAATTTGGCGCTATATAAATAAACTGAATTGAAAAGCTCATTACATACACTTATACAGCATTTCCCAACACACACACTCCCCCCAGGGGAACCAACCCACCACCTGCATAAAGAACTCTCTCACACATTTGGTAATTGTCAAGAAAAAAACACTTTAGTTCATCAAGGACATCAACTTTAGCCAGATAAACATCAGAATAGGTTCACGGCATGAAGGAGGCTGCCTGAACTCATTCTTATCGCTTATGACCCGCCTTCACCCTTGTCTAGAGTAGGAAGGCAACTACTTTCTGTCATCATCCCCACTCTAAACTCTTAACATATAACAATCACCCCTATTTATGCAGAGGAAAGGCACACTCAAAATATTTTCTCTTCTAAATGGGCCGAGGAAAAACATGCTTCCACAACATCCACCTAAACCCAAACTCCTCTGGAAAAATGACCAACAAAGATCAGTTCAACTCTTTATTATTCTTTTTCTTGAAAGTAAAAATATATTTGGAAAGTGCATTAGTACAATATTCAGTTGGCACATAACAGGTGACGTCATTGCTCAATCCATGACGACTTCCTGCAAACACAGAACCGATCGCATCGTCGGAGACGACAGATTTTTAAACATCAGACACAAGAACATCACTTCCTGACCGTCCCACTGACATGACAAGAACACCGACATCGCTTTGCAGGCTGGCACAGCCGCTTATGGTGGAGGAACGCTCTCCGCTTCCCATCCTCCTCCATTGGTCGCTAACTCATATGGCTTTCATTTTCCTTGGCTTTATAGAATAACAATGTGCTTTAAGTGACTGAGCTAAACGTACCCGACCATGAACCGACAGATTAATACAAAGAAGCAAACATCATGGTTTAAAAATACCAAAACAAAACAATCAATTGGCAGGAGAAAGTTGGATTCTGGGTTCCTACTGAGGAAAAGTTTGGCTCTTCATTCAGAAACAGGTAATTTAGGAGGAAAACAGGTTCAATACATTCAGAAGCTTCTGTTCAATAAAACTAAACTGCTGTGAAATGAGTAAGAACCTTGAAGGAAGGCTTCATCTGGACCAACGGAGCACGAAGGAATGCCATGAAACGAGGTTTGGACCTTTGCTTTTAACGGACGATTAAGCTGCTGGAAGACGCGGAACCAGAGTTCAACTGGTTTAAGACAAACTCCAGAGTCTTTTGGTCTCTTCAGGACCCAGACGTCCCCATAACAGAACCCCTGCTTCCACCCGGGACTCATTCTGGGCCTCAGAGTCATACAATACAAACTGACAAATATGTTCCACTCATTTCACGCTTATTTAGCCAAAACAGCTACATTCTTCCTGGTCGGCAAAGGGAACTCTGGGTCAGGACCGTCTGCGTCTGGAAGCAGAGAGTTTAGTTAGAAGACATGCTGGTTTTTGGTTGGTTCTGCTCCCTGACGCAGGTTCCTGAAGGAAAACAGCTCTCTAAAGCAGAACCCAGAGCGAGGAGCTGTGGAGCTCTCTAGGAAGGACCAGAAAGCAGATGAGGATCAGAAAACCAAGAAACCATCTGCAGCGCCATCGTTTCCCCCGACATCAACAAAGCTGAGACGCCTTCAACTATCCAAAGACGTTCCAATGAAACCCAACCTTCATCTCAGTCAGGAGGGAAACGGTGGCATCTTCTGTTAAACTGATCTCTGCTGCGATCGCCTGCTGTTAACTGGTTGACGGATTCCTCCCATCATCAGTCATCGAGGTTATAATCACGCTTTAGTTGGACCAGGTCCAAAGAGAAAAATAAAACGTGTTATCGCAGCAAAACTTTCCTACCATGAAAAATAGATAGAGGAGGAATGAGCGGCGCTCCTTATCTGGCTTCATTAAGAGAAACATGAAAGTAAAAGGATCCAAAAATAATAATAATACTCATAAGACTTCCTCTGAACCGGCCTGAGTTCTGGGTTTGGACCACGAACTGTGGAAGGAAATCCGTCAGCGTCTAAAACGGACGCTTCTACTGAAGGGAGGATATTAACTGCTTCTAACCGCTCGACAAAACCCCATTCAGGACAAAGGGACTGGAACCAGTAAGAAACCAGTATCACTGCAGGCTGGTCTCAGTTTGGAAAAGAAAATATCGAAAATTAGAGGTTTTAAATTCAGTGGAAAAGTTTGAATAATTAAACTTTCATCATTTAGTCTTCTTTTTTTAAGTTTAATCCCGAAAAAGAAAAAAAAAAACAACTAACTGAGAGCCGCCCCGCTGGGCGTGCTGGGACCGCCCCGCTGCAGACGGAGCAGAATCCAGAGCTGAAGGCCGAGCAGCACCAGAACTCCTGGTTCTGATTAACAGTCAGAAACAAAAAGCTACAAAGGAAAAAACTCATTTGAACGGGTCACGGCTGACAGGAAGGTGTCGGGCGACGCCGTCTGATCTGGTTCCGACTTCAGAACCACTGCTGTGACCCTTCAGAGCCGGAACCGAGCCTCGCCGTCTTCCTGGATCACACGCTGGAGTCGCTGTACATGCCGTTGATCAGGTAGTCCACCTGCGTGTAGTCCTTCCTCCTGTAGCTCTCGTACGCCTGCGTGGCGAACACCGCCACCGTGACGAGGAAGAAGAGCAGGCCGAAGAGCAGGACGGCGATTAAGGAGGCCGTGTCCACCAACTGCCGGGTCAGAACCGCCCCGGCTTCCTCCACCACAGAAACCCGACTGGGAGGAGCCGAGGTTCTGCTGGGAGGCCTGGCTGAGGCGGCGGCGCTGGAAGATGACGGGGAAGGCGTGGACTTTCTGGTGCTGAGCGCCGGCGCCACAGACGGACTCTGACTGCGGGAGGGCAAAACAGTGGTGGTTGGGGGGTTTCTGATGGCGTCTGATGGCGTGGAAGGAGGCGGAGCTGACGGTGTTTCAGTGGGCGGAGCCTGAGTGGTTGTAGCTGGAGGTTTGGAGGACAGAATCGCTGCTGAAGAAGTTCTGTTATCTTCCAAAGGTGTAGAGGTCCAGACAGCTGTAGCAGCGCTGGTGGTGGAGCCACCGTCTGCAGGCTGAGAGGGCGTGGCTGCAGCAGAAGTGGGAGGAGCTTCTGTTCCTGGAGGCCGGCTGCTAACAGGTCCTTCGGTCGTTACAGGTCCTTCTGTTTGGTTTGTCCCATTCAGAGGCAGCCGTTGGGTGGCGTTTACCGCGTCTGATGAAGAGCCTTCAGCCGTTTTGTTCTGACTCACAGTACCGTTACCTTGGAAACAGAAGAGATGGTTTAACATTTACTGGGATGGAGCAGCGGTGCTCAGCGCTAATAACAGCTGATCTCCTGGCGTACCTGAGTCCTGGCATCCAGTGGAGCAATTGGTTTCTGTGGAGTTCAGCTGGACTTTAGGATCCAAGGAAACCTGGGCGAATCCTGGGAGGGAGGCGCTGGAGAGGAGCAGCAGGAGCCAGAGGAGGGGGAGGCCCAGCCGGAGCATGGTGGGCTGCAGGGAGGACACCACATCTCAGTTAGCGACAGGCTAGCTGGGCAGCGATGCTAGCAGCTAGCAGAGCCAATCAAAGCAGTTCTCTGTGGAGCCCTGTGCCAAACGCCCCGCCAGCAGGAGCGCCCTGGGATTCCACCACAAAGCAGGTCTAGTCTGTATGTTCTACATCTATAAAGCCACAGATCTCCTCAGAGGAGGAGGAGGTGAACTTCCTGCCATGTTGGAGGCAGACAGCAGAGACCTGCCCTGAAGGTAAACATCACAGAGCAGCTCCACCCGGACCTCCAGCATCACCTGCTTCCCAGAAGCACAATAAATAAATAGAGATGTAGAGATAAAGCAGTTAGAATGTGACACATTTCCTCATAATAACTCCCAACAGAGCCAGCATCAGTTAGCTTCCAGTGAAAGCTGCCCTACCAGTGAGCTGCAGGAACTGGTTTCCAGTAGAAAACTCCCATAAGCTGCCGGTGTTCCGTCAAATTCCGTCACTCCGGGAAACAAAGTCTGAGATTTTAAGCGACTCCAGCTAAAAACAAAGAGAAATAATAATGAAGAATCATCGCAGCTGGAGACAGATGGATGTTTAAGAGAGAAAATCAGCAGTTAGAGAGAAAAACGAACCATGATCAGAGGGACGGGGCGCTGCTCTTCTTCTCTTTGCTTCCAGCAGGTGGAGGTCAGTGAGCCGCTGCTCTCTGCTGCCCTCTGCTGTTCGGTCCTTTCGTTTCTTTATTTTTTTTTTTTGCGGCGGTTGGCAAACAATTGGAAAGTGCATTACCGCCACCTACTGGTAGGGAGTATTTAACAAATGTGTTGGACTGATGGATGCTGATTGCCCGTTGGTTGAATGGCTTATGGAGGAATATTTGTTAGCCAATTCATTAATCTAAACGGTCATTAATTGTCTTATTCTGACTTTATGTTAATTTTCCAATTTCCTGTTACCCCTAAAGAAAATGCTTTTGTCTTTGAAGCAATCCTCATTGAGTCATTAAAGCTTTTATTATCTTTACCCACACGTTAAATTCAATGAAGTTTTGATCTAAACTCCATTTATTTTGATTATGATTGTCTTTTTATAAGTAAAAAAAAACACGAACAAAAGGTTAAGAAATATTTTATTTTATTTTTTTCATCAGCTTGTATATTTTATTGATCCAGCGTTTTTGAAAATATAAACTGGATGTGGACTTGGTTGCTCCTTAGAAAATCCATAAACAATGAAGTAAGATAAGTTTCTTATAAAGTTACTCATAACATTTATACTGTTAAGGTAATTTTGATAAAAACATATAAATGGGGATTTGGACCCGACGTGTACTTTTTGCAAAAATAATGAAGAAAAGCTTATTCATCTCCTTTGGGGATTATATAGTTATAATTGACATCTCTCTCTCTTGGTATAGTTACCAACCTTCTCTGGAGAGATATGTCAAATTTTTTTCATCAAAAAAATCTCAATGTTACGCTAACGGATAAGGATGCTTTATTTGGGATGGAGAAATGTGAACTTGTCGAAACAGAATTTTTATATGTTGTTAACTTTTTTTTAAATTATTTATGGTAAATATCATATTCACACCATTCATTTCACACTTTCAAATATTACAACAAAAAACACATTTCCAGATTTTATTATCTTCTATTAATATCTACATAGAATCCTTAAAATTGAGCTTTAATGCTAAAGCCATTCAAATAATAACTGCCCTTAAAGAACTGCAACCCTCGAGTACAGATTTGATTTTGACATTGTAAAATAATTATTATATATTCTGCAAAGTCCTTTGATGTTTTATCTGAGTGTAATTATTAATGTTAGATACTGTTCTTGTTTATTCTTTGTTTGTAATAAAAAAAAGTATGGGGTTGAAGTGAGTCTACAGCATCGAACAACCATGATGTTCTCATTTCCAGGGGACTAAAGACTTTTAAAATAAAGATAAATTCATCTCTTTGACACTGACTGGCTGTTTCATAGCATCAGTAGATTATCTTTAACTACGATCATATTGCATAATCAAGTCAAGGAAATCTATAAATCATGTAATATAACTTATTATACAAATCCACAATAATATAAATGTGTTAATGGAGCAGAATAATAGAGTTGAGCCAAAAGTGCTTAATTTCCAGATTTAGCACTTCTCTTCATCGGCTTCCTGTTAAAGCCTTAAATGGCCAAGCTCCATCTGATAT